TACATGAAATCTAACATAAATCTGTAGAGACAGTGTCCGACGTCTCCCCTCACCCACTTTTCTGTTGTCCACCCCCCAGGGAGGAGGTCACATATAGTCCCTTGTAATCGGTTCCCTCCTTCCTACCCACTCTTGGTTTTAACTTGGTTTTAAAGCACAACAGTAATGAAAACGCAATTAGCACATTTTTGCTTGTGTGTTTGTGCCAAGGCACTAATAAGAACTATAAGATTAGGAACTGCTTGGTGGCTCAGCCCCACCTACAGCTCTGCGGAAGAAAAGACCTGGCAATCTGCTCCTGGAAAGACTACAGCCTAGGAAGCCTGGTGGAGCCATTGGGTGTCATCTCAGGTTTCTCTCAGTTGGAATGGACCAGAAGGCACACAACAACCCATGCCAAGGGCTGTCCATGCGGACGTTATTACCCCCAACCCTTTCAAAGAAACTCTGCTGGGTTGATTCAAGAAACGTTGCCACACAGAGGGCGGCATCCCTGGGCCCTCTCGACTGCGTTAGCAACGTTTCTGGAGAGGTAAGATTCTTCCCCAAAAAAGTTTTATACAGAAAGTTGCAGCAACTCCCGGCTGTTGCTCCGGGTTTTGCGACCAGATTTCTAGGGCTAGGGGAGCCCTGGCCCCCTCAGATCCTTCATCTACAACCAACTCCCACCCACAAAGGGTCAACCTTGGTAAAGCTCGGGCTCCTCCCTCCCTAGGCGACATTCCTAGGGTTGAGACCTGCTGCCCTCTGCACTCCGTGAGCAGGTTTCAGTCCCCTCGGACCTGAGCCTCCGCTCTTCCTCTTGGCACAAGGGAAGTGCGCCCACCAGTTGGCCGCCACCTCTGCGCCCTTGACCGGGAAAGCACCGCCACCCCGGCGCCCCCGACTTGGGAGCAGGGTGCCAGCGCGGGGGCCCCCGGGAACCAGGCGCGGGAGGCAGTGGGCACCCATAGCGGGCCGTCTCGAGTACCGCTCCACGCTCAGCGCCCACCCGGCGGAGGCCTCGG